ATGTAATGTTTTATGATTTGGATCGTCAGAGTGAAATATTTTATTGCTCGATTATCATTGTCACTGAAAGCATTCGAATAACGAATACATTTTTTTTGGATACTTTTATTGAGGGCAGTTTTTAAAATTCCGCATATTCATTGTTCAGTTAGTATTTTTTCTGGTTGGAGAGGAGGGAAAAAAACTTCCGTTTGGATAGCGTAACATCTTAAATCGTACATTAGCGAAAAAGTTTTTATGCAATTGAATAGTGGCGTTTTGATAGGAAATGTTAAATGAAGAGCAAGATGCGGCAACACTGAAAAAAGAAGCAGAAGCAAGACATCGAGCGGAATGTGTGGCTATGAACACGTGGCAGGATATCGTTGATAACTGGAAACGTTCGCTGTTATTTTATCATTTTATCGACTGATTTGTTCGATTCAGTTCTTTTATTTTTGCTTTGTGATAATGGTATCTGAGAGTAGTATTTCTGAATTTATTCGTAATTATGTTACTTTTACTTCCGGCAACTGGACATAGCAGAGTGTTTGCAATAAAATTGTTTGTGGGTTTTCAACGAATGTTCTGTGAGGAGTTAGGAAATGACTGTTAGCAACTGGCGGACTCATAAAATGTAGTCTCTTGGTAGTGATCTCAAAATACGATGCATGGAGATCGGTTCTGTTACGGGATAAATCAGTGGAGATCAAAATACGATGAAAACTACCGGAAATCACGTTTTAATGTATAGTTGAAATAATTGAAATTTATCGTCGAATGTAGTACTGATGACAAAGTGGAATCACAGCTAAAACAGTGTAGATGTGATGGACTGAGATGAATAAATTGCAGATGAAATGGAGCAGTACGCGTCGGTGAGTTGGAGTGAGATCGTTGAACGAGAAATAACACACTATCGTAAACCGGGCGATATCGCTCAAATGCACGAAAAACTTTTATCACCGAGCCGAAAAAGGTTTTAGAATCTATTCGATTCGTTGGTTCATTTTGTTCGACCGCATTTGAATTGATCTTATTTGGTGGTGTATTTATTCGTGTTGATTGTCGTCGTTCTCATTCCGCGAAACTGCCATCATTTCAAAATATTGCGAAGCAATTCGATATTCAGCACTTTCATATTCAATGCTGTATCGTATTTTTCGTAATATATCAGATAGGTTCACTGAAATCGGAACAGTTAATCCTGAATTGGCTGATCTTTCGTCTCTGAAATTTATCGACCAGCATTATTTAAAGTATTTGTTCAAG